CCGCTGTCCTTCTTTCTCTCTGCCTGCTTCGTCTCCGCGATGTCTCTGTATCTGTCTCCACTATTGCTTCGACTCCGTCTGTCTCTCACACTGTCTAGCGCACTTATATACGATAATACTGCCTGTTCTAGAAACTTCTAAGACTCTCAACACGTGCTACCAGCCTCAGTTGACGCAACGCTGTCGCAACACACTAGCGAATCTTCTAGAATATTCGTCACGTGACCCCGCTGTCATAACACACTAGCAAATCTTCTAGAATACTCGTCACATGACCCCCACTGTTATAACAGTATTCTATTTAATTGAATGTGCATAGAGTTGATCCATTAGAACAACCCTGTACTGAAGAAATAATGTTGACTATGATTCTGAAATTATGATGTGAATCTTAATGAAATGTGGCAAGTTTTAGTCAACAGTACAAGTCTGTTGAAAAACAAATTGTTAATAAAGTTTTTGTACAAAAGATACATCTGTGAAATGCTGAAATTAGTCTGACTCAGACAAATTAAAGTGCAAGATGATGTTCATGGAAGAAGAGAAATACTTTTGTCCATTCTACAATTTACAAAACCTCTACAATCTCCTAAATGAATATAAAAACTTTTCAGAATTCCTGTATATTGGTCCTGGTATTTTCTTTACACTAATATGAACTGTTGCAAGATCAGCAATGCAGAATAACATGAAATGATAACTTTCACACCAAATGTATAATACCAAGTTGAATGGCACTCTGTACAAGGTCATGGCATATACATTTTGAACCCCACAAATGCACATAAGGGTTAAAAGGTACATGTATGTTGTGCATTATTTCTTTGTTAACCCTATGCATGACTGGGTCAAAATGTACATATCAAGACCTGTTTAACTCCTTTCTTATGGTGACCCTTTTCTGCACGTCACAAGATTTTACGTAGTTACATTTAAATTTTAATTAAGCTATTTTATGATCAATCTTTGTCAATGAAACAAGAATTAAATTTACATTATAGTTCAAAGTTTTATATTATCAAAGTTTTAATTCATTGATGAAAAATCCTTCAAATTTGGTTTTATTCTCTTGTGATCTGCAAGTTCACAAAATGTTAAATTTGTGTCTGTAGTTCGAAGAGTTCTTGACTCATGTTCATATATAAAAAGAATCTAGGTTAACTGCTATGTTTACACATTCTTCTTTCAAGTTCTGTGGGGCACATTTTGAAAAAGGAGAAATAAATTACTCTGAATTCTTGACAGATGCCATGCTCACTTTCTACACATAGTTACAATTTCTCAGCCACCTACACTTAGTTAAGCTAGATGTTTATAACCAATGGAAAGAGCACTTCTTGAAGTACATTCTCTTAACTGTTATTTTAAAATTGGTGCTAAGAATTATATACAGTACTAGTAAACCCACTCTTAGCATTGTTGCTGCTTTGTCCCCGCCACTATATCATTATTTCTCACCTATGTTAGTTAGATAGACAGTTGCATTGTATTTAGGTTCTAGTTTTATACTTTACTTAATTATGTTTTTAGGTGCATATTTGAAAGGTTTAATAATATTTTTTTTAATATAAGCCAATGCCAGCTCGGTTCAAAATGGATAGTGTAATACGTGAATGCCACCACGTTATGCCAAGGGTGAAAGTGCCTCTGCCCACTATATGGTAATACTGGCCGGAATCACCCATTGATACGTATTACAATAAATAACAGTGCTAAAGGACAAGAAATGATAACAAATTATTCAAATAAATTATATGTGAAAATGTAAAGGCTTGCAAAAAAATATGTTTTAAGATTATTTCAGGAAAAATAAAAATGTATGTACATTTTTCCTATGATTTAATTTTAAACATTTCATTGTAATGTACTATATTCTATAAGTTGATGATAACAGCTAGTTAGTAATATCATAAAGTGAAAATAAATATATAAACATTTAACATAAATTAAAAAGAACTCTTGATATTCATTTTGGAGGTTCTAGGGATTATTCAAATGAAATTTGAAAGCTGTAAGTTGAAAAAATAATTTTTTTTATACTCATGTTGTTTTGTTGGTTATGTGAGAAGCTACTTGGGTACATTCCTATAAACTTAAGAGTTAAATAAACAACCATATTTTCAATATACACCAGTAAATGTAGTTTTAAATTAATTTTTTTACATTATCTAAGCTTTAACTTTTTAATTTCAAAACAAAATATTTAAACAACTCTCAAACCTCACTTCTACGTGTCATGTGATGCATCTGTGCTTTGAATTCTCCCTTTCAGTTTTATATGGTGACAGTGGCCTTTGAAGTTTCCTGCTATTTTGAGATCTGTGAATGAGAATTGATGATTCTGCAAGCTCATGCATTTCAGAACAATATTTTCAGCTGCTGTGGATGCTTTCTTCCTACCCCTTCCTTTCTGCCACTCCACACAGCCAATCTCTATGTATCTCTGCACCCAGCAGCTCACAGAAGATTGGTTAAATTTAATTCTTCTAATAATTTGCCTTATTAAAAGTCCCTTTGCTCAAAAAACAATGACTTCTTCTTTTCATGATGGTAACTTGCAACCCTTGGTCACTGTAGCATCACATGCATGTTCTTGCAGTTATGCTTCTATACTGACTCTCACAAAAAATATCTATTTATAGCCAAAATACGAGTGAAGCATCTGTATGCATTAAAGCATCAAAACATACAATAATTTTGAAGTGTGAAAACAATTGGGGATTCAATAAATTTTTCTGCAACCAAATGTGCATGTGTGTGTATATACATTATACATTTAAGCTGTGCTTAACGCAACACACTTTTTTTCCAAATTTTCCATAACTTAGTAGAGTTCTGGAAAAAGTGATGCACCCTCAGTTTTCAATATTTCAGTGAAGCTTAAAACATCCTGCTAAATTATCATCTCTGTTTTTGGCTAAGCAACAGAATATCATGAGTTCTAAGTTTTTGTTTTAATGAGTTTAAATTCAGAAAACAGTTTTATAATTACTTAAAACTTCAAATATCATGTATCATTGTTAGGTATCTCCATCATATATATATACATTTCAGCATAAATATCTTTTACTTTTCTTCACATTTAACATCACATTCATATACTTAGCTACTTGTGCAAGTGTTAGATAACAATATTTTCTAAAAATCTTTCAATATGTATGATCACTTTCTTTTTAATTTCCCACATTTAAGTTCCAGGTTTGTCATACCACACCTGGTAGTCTGGTCTACACAAAAATCTCTTTCTTGTTCCACACAACAAGCACGTCACAACTCTGTGTTTAGATCTCTTTCCTGAAAACAGATTATCAATTCAAAGTTACAGCCTAACAATAAAAAACATAAATACCAACATATAACTAAAGGTACTTAAGGTTAAAATTAAAATTTGTTTATCACGATAACTATAGCTAGAAAGTGATTTAGTTTTCTTTCGTGTTATATCTATCTGAAACTTCATGAATTATTGACTACACATGATTCCTGTATTTAGTCTGTGGTTGGGAGAAAAGTGTCATTATATATCTTGTATATTTGTTCAATAATAAAAAAACAAAACAACTAATGATATATGAATGTAACAATACAAAAAAAAATTACAAGCCAAACAAATTTAGTCTTTTTTGTTTCTTGAACATATATTGAAATGTTGAAGTTGAAGATTTGTAAAAATGTAATGGGATAAAATGCTTAACAATTAAGATAACCGAAAAATTACTCAGTAGTAGAAATCTAGCTAAATATACTCCAAAACATGTACAATAAGCAACAGAACTAGTATCACAAGTTTTGCATCTGTGTTCAAACTTTTATGCACAAAGTTCATGCAGGATCATGATAGTTATTGCTAACTGCAAGCTTGTTAAGCAGTGTGTCTGAATTGATAGGTTTAATCATACACATCCATAATAAAGATTGTTCCATGTTTATCATGCATTCAAAGAGTGCACTACTATTTTGAAATAGAACTAATGACATCTTTATATTTCTTATTTTAAAAATGTTATTTTTGTACAATATATGTTATAACAAACCTGTAAATTAGAAAAGCATAAGATGCATGTACCATACGAGTAATTTAACATAGTCAACTAATCCATACATAGAAGGTTGAATACATTATATCAAAATAATTTTGAATATGCAAATCAATAATTCACAAGAAAAACACATCTGATATAAAGTTGTGGTGGAATAGCATGTGTCATAACTATATTTGACTTTGTTTATATATGAATAAAGAATAGGTATTTAATTGAATAAAGTTGTTTAAACATTTGTTTAACAACAAGTAAAAGCTTGGAATGGTCTATTCTTTCACTGGGGTTGTATCTATGAGCATTCCTCATCAGTGACCCTACTCTATTCAATTATGTACCAGCTACCCAGTGTCGGCTAACAATATGAAGAATTAAATTGTGGCAAAATGCTACAAGTTCTTCAAATACCTATAGAATGATAGGTTTCTTTTTTATAAGTGTAAAACACTTAAATACACCATTTCGATTTTCGATACCTCACTACTATAAAGGCTTGGTTTGGACCAATATTTCATTGGTGGTAGTGTCCAGGGTCACTGATGAGGATTGGAATTCTCCAAAACTAGTCTGGCTCACAGACACACCCCCAATGAAAGAATAGACCATTACAAGCTTTTACTTGTTGTTAAACAAAGGTTTAAATAACTCTATTCAATTATGTACCAGCTGCCCAGTGTTGGCTAACAATACGAAAAATTAAATTGTGGCAAAATGCTTCAAATGTGGCAAGTTCTTCAAATACCTATAGAATGATAGGTTTCATTTTTGTTAGTGTAAAACACTTAAATACACAATGTCTGTTATTTTGATCACAGAAAGGGTTTGTAACAACACTTTCCCATGCACAGTAGTATTTGTAAACTTATATCATAAAGATATGTTCAAATCAGGGATTCAGAATTTCCAAGGCAGGGATATCCATTGTGCTTAATGACAATATAAAACAAAATAATATAGATCAACTTAGACATCAAGACCATCCACAAAGAGACTTGCAACAAGTCATACCCCAGCCATGATAAGAAAAGTTCAACATGTTGTAACAGTTGAAAATCCACAAACACAAGGATCAATGGCAAAAGCCACCCAAGAGCCCCAAACAACAGCACACAACATAATGAAGGATCTCTGTCTACAAAAGTGATAAAAGTTACACATACACAAACTGCTTCCATGACATGTCTATTCAATTCGGGCACACTTAAATGAACTTGAAGAATGAAATGGGTATTTGCACTATTTAATTTGAAGACATACAGGTCAAGTGAAATTGGACTGTTGAAATGTGTGCTGAGAAACTATTGTCTTCATTCACTAAGTGTATTACAGAAAGCACAAAAGCACATTCTTTTGATACAATAACTCTATAATAGAGCCTTTAGCAATGGAAAATAGGCTGCAGAGTTAATGTAAAGGTGCATAGCTGTCAGATACAGCATGACTAGATAGTTAATAGGACTATGACAATGTGGTGAGGCTCAAAATCATTTTAGTATAATATAACCTCTGTACAAGTACCACAGTCTGTACAAGTATGTTATTATCATTAATAATTGCATCTCCTGATCTGTTTTCTAATATGTGTGTATTTAAATCAGTTAAATTTTGTTACTGATTGATTGTATTTTTCACATAACTCATATTTATCATATAAATGTATTAAATTTTTTTATTTGTGATGTTAGAAAAACAAGTAGGTTCAAGAAGTCATAACAGAAAGGAATGAAAACCTTATACCCCGAGAGCTTTTGAAAGGTGGACCTTTGTTCTTCAGGGGCAAACTAAAAGTCAGATTCCCAGTTTGCCCCTGAAGAAGAAAGGTCCACTTTTCGAAAGTGCTTGGGTTATAGGGTTTATATTCATTTATATAATTTTCTTTGATTACTCAGCAGTCAAACATATATACTTATTTCACAGAACTATACTACAAATTACACCAAGTTTTATTACTTAAATTCATCACAGCTGAACAAATGTAACAAAAGTATCATTTTTGTCTAGGGAAATGATAATAGAAGCTTGAAAGCAGAAAAATTATTTTGAAACTAAAGCAACAAACAGACAGTTCTAAGGATTTGTTTGCAGAAAGAAGAAACACAGGGGTTACTCACCTATGGAAATTCCCATATGTTCATTGGCTCTAGCTAGTAGATGGCATTCAGCTTTAAGCACACACGCTTACAAACTTGCAATTCCTGGCACCAATACTACAGCAACTCACAACCAATGAGCTTACTATTCTCGATTCTTTCCAGTTTGCATGTAAATTAAGTCAACTAGCCCCTCCAAAAACCACTTTATGGCCAGCTTTGACATTACCTTCCTCTTTACAAAGATACCTCTAAATGAAAACATTGATATTCGTATATCTGAGCTTTTACACAATAAAATCTTGCTGAATGGCTTTCAGTAACTCAAATTAAGACTATGTTGAACCTTACAACCAAAAATCTACATTTCCTATTCAACAACACCCTATATGAACAAATAGATGGCATAGTGACGGGCTCCCCACCAACTTCAGACCTATCCTTTACAGAAGGTATGTAGATGACACATTTATTCTTTTTCACAATAAGGATCAATGCTCAAAGTTTTTAGAATAACTGAACTTGCGAGATTGAAAATAATTATAATTTACCTTTTTAACATCCTCATTAACCATAACACTAACAGATTTGGCACATCAGTATACAGAATAAAAAATGTTTACTGGACTCCTATCACAATTTGACAGTTTTATCCAATTCACATAAAGAAATCTGGTAACATGCTTTTTAAACAGAACTTATAATTTATGTTCTACATACTTTAATTTACACTTTAAAATTTCGATCATACAGGATACTTTAAAATGTAACGGCTACCCACAACATCTATTACAAAAAGTTAACAATACTTTTCTAACAAAGAAACTCACTAATCTACCCAGACCACCAATTATACCCAAACTTACTATATAGTCTTGTCTTCCATACAAAGCCTAACTTTAAAGTCTAATTAAATGCATAGTTTATTTTTACTACCCTCAAGTTGATTTCAGATTAGTTTTTAAATCCACATCCCATAATAAAGACCATCTTCTAATTTCTCTTTGTTCTTGGCTTGTATATATTTACACATGTGGAGACTGTGAGGCCTCCTATATTGGCAAAATTAAGTGCCCTATGCTAGCTACAGCCAATTAACTTATGGAAATTTCCATGAAAACACAAAAAATGTTCAGCAATCCCTGTGTTTCCTCTATACACCAACATAGTGAATAAGTCAAATTTGACCTAATTTGTATGAAAGCAATAAGAAAGAAGAATTACTTCATTATTCAAAGGTGTCATAAGAAATAAAGACATTTCTCTCAAGCATGATGTTCCCTTATTTTTTCTTGTGACATAATACATAAACATTTTGGCTTATTGGGTTTAAGATATTTAAAGAAATAACACATCAAAAGAGCAAATGGCTACTCAGAAACTGTTCACTTAAATCATACTACTATAGGTTTCTCAGTTTAAAATGTATGAGAACTTGTGATTTTCTAAACACAAGTTATTTTGTGCAGACTTTTGTCACACTGATTTCAAATAATTTAATTATAAATAACAAATGTACTGAAATTTAATTGTAAAAATTATAACCTTATCTTGTAAACTGAAGAAATGATGAAAATATCAGTAATGAACTGAAATCATACATACTTTTATTTTGCAATTAATTTAAAAAATGAATATTCCTTACACATTGTAACAGTTCTTTCAAAAATACTTACTTTTAAGTCGAACAATAGAAGTCAGGCCAGGATACAATAGAACACTGCATCTCTTACATATAGAACTTTTTATGTTGTGATCTCTGTCAAGAAATAAAAGAAAATTGTTCCACATGTTTATAAAAAAGATGTGTGTCATTAAACCAATAAGGTTTCTGTAAAACTTAAAATCAATCGCATGTTTTCATTTGCAATAATGTAATCGATACTAATAATTTGTATATGTTTCTCAAATATTTACATACTGATATAATCAATTGAAATTCAACACAGGATGTTTTCCTGGTCTTCGTTATCTCCTAACCATGTTATGTATGTATTGATGATACAGCAAGGTATCTAAGAACAGTGTTAAGCAACAACATGATAATCAAAAAGGCCTATTTGACCTGACAACATAGCCTCAACATTTTCAAATATCCCTCTGCCTTTGGAAAGGTCCTATGCTGCCTACTTGCTTGTAAAGGTGTACCAAAGACACCACCTGAAAGAACTGCTTTTCTTGTTGATTCATTATCACCAGATATATGCTGTATTTTGTGACAAAGCATATCCTAATTACCAATGCTGTGAAGACACTCACTTGTAACACTGAGCTTATTCACTGCATTTTCAATTTACAGCTTGAACAAAATGTAACAGCTTTGTGCACACAAAAAGTATCTGGCATAACAGGTTGGCAGGTTCTTCATCCTAGTGGCTTTAAGCTCATATCTTCACAGCTATGGCAGAGTGATGATAATGGGATTCTGATGAAAATGATTTATAAATGGCAGTGAAATCTGCCAAAATCTTCACAATTATATTACCATACAAATGTCACTGTGAGCCATTTGTATGTTGTGTAAGTGTGGATTTACTAGTACATTGTTATTCAACAAAGGGATGTATAGCACTGCAGTATTTCAGAAATGTCAATTAATACAATGCTACAAAACATCATTGCATGATGTTCAAAAGTGTCTTGTTTATGATACAACTTTACAAACTGTAATTAAATAACACATGAAGTCCTAACTATGCAACTGGATGCTCTGAACTGTACTTAATAAAAATATTTTTCCTGAACTAAACAAGTATACTTATTACAGGTAGTAGGTAAATGTCTAAGCTCATTATTAATTGGCTTCATATTTTATTTCTTTAGAAGTGGTGTACATTTGTGTTTAATTTGAATATTTCATATTTTCAAAAGAAATAAAAACTGTTTTCATAACTATCAGATGGTCAAAATATGTGTACAAATAAGTTTGCAAGTCATAGTCTTAATCTGATGCATAATAAATAGTACAAGAAGACTTATTTCATAGCTTTCACAAAGAACTTTAATGAAGCAGATGTCAATAAAAAAACATACACTGTGTAGAACATTCATTGAAAAGCTTGTTTAATTTTGTTTTAATGACAGGACTAATTAAAGTATTATTCAGAGAACTAATTTATCACAGTTATTTATTGTTTTAATAATTTTGCTTTAAAACCACAAAGTTTATATAGAGAGGAGTCATTATGTCCATAAAATATAAAAACACAAAATATTTTAGCGAAGCACTTAAATGCAGGTTATCTGAGCCTTATTTAAACCAAATTTTTTCTGGATAGTTCAATGGTGACTCTAAACATAAGTCATGACCGTACAAAGCTACCAAGTATGCTAAGCTTTCATACATTTTTATTATCTCAGGATATTTACGTAATGATCATCCAAAATTTTATCCCTGGCTCATACACTACATGTAAATCATACAGAAAGTGGAAGAATGGATAATCATGGATAAGATGATGCATGCTCTGCACTGTGTCAAGGACATTCAAAATTTTGAGTGACACTGTAGTTGACAGCATGACAGTAACTCAACGAGTCTTACAACATTTCATATGCAAGTCTTCCCGATTTGAATCTACCTTTTCGTTTACTTAGAAGTAATATAAACCACACAGTCTACTAAGTTAACATGTTAACTATATTGCTGTTACAAATATTTGGACTACTTTATTTGTACTACTTTTCCCAACTATCCTTTAAGTATGAGCAGTAGATCAAGTCAGTCAGTGTGTCCTCTGAAAAATGTCACTACGGTGAGTTTTGTTGAATGTACAAGAGTTTAACTCGATGACTACCGTCTACTAATTTTCTTAGTAGGCAATGCAAGTCTTGCTATATTTCATTCCAACAATAAAACTAGTGGACGATTATGTTCAAAAGTTCATAAGAACTTTGATAAATGTAGGTAGTTTAAGAAACATAAAGCCTATTACTTTTAATAAATTTAGTTTTTTTTGCATTATGATCTTTCATATTTTGGAAAATTACATTAGGAAATTGTATTTATAAGAAATTATTACAATATTCATATTTGCTACAAATTTGAACTTATTACTTTTAATGTTTTAGTACATTATTTTGAAATCCCCAAAAAATTGTATCCTCCATAAAATGCAAATTTTATTTATTTTTCTTTTTTTTTTATAATCACGTATACTTCTAATGGTTTCAAGTAATATACAGACCCATAAA